CTACAGCAGCCACTTCCTGATTGGCCATTTCGGCAACAGCTGGTGCCTCGCTGGTGGCAGCCACTTCCTGATTGGCGGCTTCAACAACGGTTTGTACCTCGCTGCTGGCAGTCACTTCCTGATTGGCGGCTTCGGCGATGGTTCCCTCTCCACCTCTGGCAGCCACTTCCTGTTTGACTGGGTCAACAATGGTTCCCGCCTCACCACTTGCAGCCACTTCTTGACTTGTGGCTTCGGCAACGGATCCTGCCTCGCCACCGGTGTCCACTTCAGCAACTGTTCCCTCCTCACCTCCGACAGCCACTTCCTGACAGACCGCTTCGGCAATGGTTCCTGCCCTGTTGCTGGCAGCTACTTCCCGATTGGCGGCTTCGGCTATGGTTCCCTCCTCACCACCAGCAGCCACTTCCTGATTTGCCACTTCGGCAACAGCTCCCACCTCTCCGCCGGCAGCCAATTCCTGGTTGGCCTCTTCGGCACCGGTTCCCGCCTCACCGCCGGGGGCCACTTCCTGATTGGCCTCTTTGGCATCGGTTCCCACCTCGCTGCCGGGAGCCACTTCCCAATTGGCCTCTTCGGCACCGGTTCCCGCCTCACCGCCGGGGGCCACTTCCTGACTGGCCCCCGTCTCTCCAGCATCCCCCGCTGACAGAACGCCTTCCTCAACGGCTCCAGGGTTCTCTTCCATCCCGTTTCCGGTTTCAGATTCGCCAGACCCCTGACTGGGCGACAAGCCAACACTCACCTCGGCCTCTTCAGTTCCTTCTGATGCAGCAGGGGGCAGCGGGCTGGCGACATCTTCACTCTCCCTAGCATCTTCTGCGCCCGGCTGAGCCAAATTTTCAACAACCACCTCCGCGGTTTCCCTCTCTGCAGCTGCAACCCCAGGATCAGGGGTGTCCAGGCTTGCCGGGACAGCCTCGGGGCTGTCTGGAGCCTCAATATCCTCAACATCCTTTCCCATGCCTTCCTGCAGCTCTTCGCTCTCCGCAGGTTTCCCGGCCTCCTTCGGATCATAAGTCTTCGCGTTGCAGGCGCCCCCTATAGGTCCCTCGTCGTTAGCATTTTTCACACCGTTGCTCAAGGTCGCCTCGGCAGCCTTGACATCCGGCTCAGGACACGGTTTGGCAACATCAGCAGCCGACGGAGCCACTGTGCCGGCAGAGTCTCCCACAGCTGGGAGAAGGAGGATGAGGAGGAGAGGCACAGCAACATCAACATCAGCAGCAGCTGTAGACCAGCTCACACTTAGGGCTCTTGTGACGCATAATCAAAGGAGAACAAACCAGCAGGAAGAGCAAATAGATCCCCATGTTCGATTAGCTTAAATGATTGGTCACATCTGAAAGGGAAAAGCTCTCTCCATGCCATTCCCCCCAGACTGGTTAGCGGCTCATAGAATCACTCCGGATGGATCCGAGTTTAGTGCCGTGGCTCAAGTTTCAGATGAGGGTTGATTATGCGCGACAAGATCTTCAGTGACCACAATCTCCCAGAATGCCCTACACCAGTGGCACCCAACCCCCCCCCCCGCCACCAAGGGGCACAACTTCTCACCTGTACAGATTCAACCCCAGTGCAAAGAACAACACCTAGGTGCTCAAATACAAAACCAAATACCAGGAATATCACCGTGGCAGGACTTGGCACTAGCTCCAAATATTAGGAGTGAAAAAAAAAAAGTCAAGTAGATTCCCAAGATGGGAAGCATAATGTTCCAGTATACAAACCTTAAAAACCTGACCTCCTGCTGCAACATTCTACCCCAAAACTCCCAAGGGTATCAGCAAGAGCAGATTCGAGGCACAAGTAATTTTGGGAGCAGCAACACTAAGAAACTACACTAGCTGTGCAGCAGGAGCGGGATTTTCACCTGTGCTTCTGGAAATACCACAACAGGTTATCAGTTAATTATCCTGGCACAGTTATGCGATTTACGTATCCTGCCCTAAACTGCACCACAGAATATCTAGGTGTGGAAAGAACCAGTGCTCACAACGACAACAAGCAGAAAGAAAAAAAAACTGGTAGAGTGACCCCAATTTGTCAAAGATAACAGACACAGAAGCCAGCTCAAAAAAATCCCCAACGCCCCCCCGGAGGTAAGTTTCATCCCAAAATAAAAGCAAGCTTCTCGACAGAGATCACGATCTCCTGTGGCAGCCTGCCCCGTCGCTCCCAGCTTCCTCAGTGACAGCCCACTTGCGTCCCCTGAAACAGCGCGTCACCGCTGTGCAGCGCCCACCTTCACAGCACCCCCCAGAGGAATTTGTCAGCAGAACCCCCCCCCCCCAAAAAACTACTGCTAGCGATGATCAGACTGCACTTGACCTGCGGTGCCCCGCAGGAGCCCCGGAACAGGCAGTGTGCCACGCTCCCCACACCCTTCACTCTAACATGCCTGACGTTGCGAGGCCATTACTCCAGTAACGACAGCCCGTCAAACCTGACAAGAGCGAGAGCCGAGCTCTCCCATCTCAGGGCTTTTACGCTCGTGACGGCGCAGGCGTCCCCACACACCGCTGAGCGACGCGCTCCACACTTAACGTGAAGCCTTACTCTCCAAATCGCCCACAATCTAGATCTAGAGGAAGCAGACATCCGAACATGTGCCCCTTTTACGGGCCCCCCCCCCTTCCAGGTAAAACGGCCGATGGAGGGTGAACGAAAGCAGCTGGTGAGCTAAATCCCCGTGAGCTGGAAAGAAACCAGTATGAAATCTTTCAAGGCCAAGCAAAAATCTATCTTCTACCCCCAAATGCCTCCCGCCCTCAGATCTGCCCCTCACAGGGGTCCGCTGAACAGCCATCCCCACCCCGCCAAGTGATCATTTCCAGGTAACAGCCCAGCTGTGATGTGCAAAGAGCAACGAGAAGCCAAGGGGGATAAGAGACCTAGAAGACGACGACCCAGAAAAATTCCACCTCCTCTTTCACTGTGAAGCTGCCTCCCCCACCTTCGACAACAACCCCACTGTGTTCCAGCAATCCACCTGCCGGCAGAGCGCCCACGCTGGAGTTCATCACGCAGCGAACACGGATAAAATAAAAAGATCTGGTTCTGATCACTGTAGCAAAAAAATATCATATGCAACAATCTGGGCTGATTTACTGAGCCACGTTTTAAAGTGAGTTTTTCACCGATAACTTACCCTATAAATTTGGAGCATTTAGGGGCTGTGCAGAATAACCCAAACACCATACCGCCCTCACTCTCTACGGGGATGCATGTCGTGACTAGTGCATTACGTACTGCTCAGTGCTTCCATCCAGAACTCATGCAAAAGGTTTACAAGTCCAGACCGCATGCAGAACAGTGAAGAGACAAGGACTCCAGAACCACAGCGGTGCGCAGCCCAGTCCAATCCCGTGCAGCTGATGTGTGTGGGTGGAGGGAGCCCTGGAAAACCCAACCCAATTGGGGGAAAAAAACCGCGGGCCCTATAATCCTCGAACCAGGCCCATCCATCTCCGCAGGATAAAGATAAGGTGCGTACTCCTCCCCTCACCCCCGCTGAGAATTCTCATCCCACATGGAGGCCCGCCACCACTTCCGATGCTTGAAATGTGCCGGCGAGTGATCCACAAAGGGATTGTAAACGCGCACCTTGCAGTGCTGCCCGAAGGTGCAATCCGTGACGGATGACATCACGATGTCCGCCCAGGACACAGCCTCCAGAAAAAACCAGGAGAGGCGGAGTCCCACCGTCCCATGATCCCCCCCCATAACAGGTTTTAACACTTTCACCACCCCCTGGCCTCTCTGACACCCCCCTCTCTCCTTCCCCCGTGGGGGGGCGACAGCTGCGGGGCAGCCCTGCCCTGCATTCGCAGCAGGCAACGGCAGCAGCTGCCCCCGTCCAACTGCGGCCACACGCTGAGGAGCCGCAAAAAGCCACGGTGCTGTGGCACTGGAACAGAGGGAAACATCGGAATCACTTGGCTTCGCAGTTCAGGGTTTTAAAAGCTACCAGCCAGATAACGTTTACAAGGATGTCAGGTGAGGCAAAAAACACAGCAGGAAAACAGACCCGACACTCAAGATGGCTGAGAGTGTCCCATAAGTTAAGACAGGGGAATCGATATGATCTAACTTCCGCGTTTCCCCAAACCTGGATCCCTCCCCCAGGAAAAGCAGAAACATTAGTGAACATACTGGGTTGAGAGGGCAGCTCCAGGACCCCCAGAGCCTGTGTGTGTGTGTGTGAGAGAAAGAGTGAGTACCAGGACTCCACCTTCATAGCAGTCTGATCCATTCCAGGCTTTACCAGCAGCAGGGCTCTTAAATCCACCACCAGATCCTGGATATTACTGTTTCCACACATAGACCAGATTTCTACAGAAAACAGACCTTATGAAAAACCTGCTTTTTTGGGGGGTTTTCAAAACGTACGGCTCCTAAAACCTGGAAGTGGATCACCCTGCCGTGCAGCGGGGATGCCACGCCCTTCCCCCGCGCACGAGTAATGTGTGTGCGCGCGCGCCAGTGAGGGCGATACGAACCCGTCTCGGCTTGTGGCTGCTGCATCTCCTGCTCCGCAGCTGGAACGGTCTCTGTGGCTTCACCAGGCATGCCTGCGGACGAGACGGACACCGCTGGTTAGCAGGGGGTTAACAGCATCCCGGCCCACCCCCAGCCCGGACCCAGAGCCCCTGCTTCCCCTTCGCCTCTGCCCGGACTCAAGAGCGCTGCCCGAACAGGAGGCTTCAAAAGCACAGAACTATCACCCCCCCCCCAGGGCTGAAAAACAAGTTAATGCCAAGACAAACTGGAAACCCTCAGATGAGAGGCTCCCAGGCCCGGACCACCAGGATCACTGTCTCTGCTGGGTCTCGTTCCAGCTGAGCTCGGCAGCTCCAGTACCGACGTCCTAATTGCCCTGCTTGCTGGTTCAGCCCTTCACGGAGCTTGTTTCAATGGTCAGTCCCGAGTGCCGGGAATACCCCGACCGAGGGGCACCGTCTCCAGAGCTTCACACGGGCTCTCCTCAACCTGCTGGCGGTTCTTTCTGAAGCAGCAGATCTGATCAAGCGGTGTGAGGGAGACTATCAGACAGGTGGGAAGCAACAATGTGTCAGGCCCAGACAGGTGGGAGTAATGCTATCAGACACCCATGATGGGCCTTCTGTTCTCCTACAGAGCCCTGGTTAGATTTCAGCCAGCACGCCCAAATGAGCGGGCATTCTTAAACTCAGAAACGGGTACAGGAGAGACACCAGTTAAAAATCCCATTACCGATCCGAAAGCAGACGTCCAAATTTACACCCCAAATAAGAGAACTGACACACGTGAGCCTGTGATTAAGAATTCAGCTGGAACAAAGCCCAGAAGAGACAGAGCTGCTCCAGGACCTGGGCTGGGAACCTGTGTGTCGTTTTGACTGGAAGTCTTCCAGAGTTCAATTTGTGCTACTGTACAGATGTTAGCGGAGCGACAGGTCTGTTTCCTGCTCCTGTCAACCGTCTCTAGTGCTCTGTAACTGTATGCGCCTTGTAATGAAATAGCCCCACCTGACAGATACACCGAGAAAGACATGCTAGTGTCACTCAATACTATACTGCACATAACTAAGAAAGGTTACAATCGATACGAGTCCATTAAGCGCGTTTTACCCCTTTGAAATTAAGGATTCTATAAAATCAAAACGACAGAAAGCAATAACCAGACGAGCTCTCGAACTATCATTATCCTGAGCTTCCAGAGGAAGACGAGACCGTCACTCCGGCTCTGACTAAAAACGGGTTGGAAAACGCACATTGAGAGAACTACCGGGCTATGTCAGCGGTATCATTACATCCGGCAACAGGGCTACATGCAAATACACATGGAGCAGAGTCTTTTCTGAACCGCTGCTCGGCGCACCCGTGAGAGGGCAGGACAGGACAGGCCAGCCCGGTTCCGACAGGCAGCGCCGGAGTCACGAGATCCCCCTCACAGCACGCGCTGTCTCGGCGTGCGCGCTCGGGCTCTGCGCTCCTGTCTCAGGCCGACTCAAACTCGCCTCTCTGGTCTCAACTGGGAACTTAACCAACTCACAACGGACCTCTCGTAGCAAAAAAACAAACAAACATGAACGCCCTTCCGCGCATATCGAACCGACGCAAACACGTGTCTGGAAACGTTTCGCTCGAACTCCGCAACAACTCTTACCCCTGTCCCCGGCGAGCTGTCTGACCTGCTATACAAACACACACTGGTACCGGAGACAAACACTCAACCAGAAAACAAAACCCAAGGCGTAACATGAAGTGGCTGCTCCATTTCCACAAGACACTTTCAAGTTTATTTCACTATAACAACAATGGTCGCCAACCAGCGTAAACGCTTCCTATCCGGAGAACGAGTTTACAGACGCGCAAGTATTCCTCCTTAACAAGCAAATAAGCACCAATAAGCTGTTATGTCTGTCAGAAGTAAAACCACATCGAGCGTCCTGTTGTGTAAACGGGACTGAAGCGGTAGGGTTCATTTTTGCCGAGAGCACGGAGACCCCCATTTTGTACCAGCACTCGCTGCTTAATCAGGGTGTTAATAAATAACACGGGGAGTCCAAACGGCGAAATAGCGAATCCTCCCTAGAGTCCACAACTCGGTGTCCGCAAAGAACCGACTTTTGAGCTATTTAATCCCATCTGTGATCGCAGATGTCAAAGGATTAGAAACAGAAACACTCACTTGTGTCAGGGATTGAGATCCAAGATGGCTGCAAAAGAAAGAGTCTGACCTCGGGCACGCCGGGATATCACCCTCCCACTGCCGGCGTTTCCGCTTCCGGGTGTCAGCACGAGACTGCGGGCCTTCGCGTACCCAGACAGGAGGGGAAGGGTGACACGCTGTAGAGGCGTCAAAGCACGAACAGCCGTTATGGCAGACTTAACCGGTGGATCCTTCTAAGAAGGAAAGGCAATTTTACCTAAACGCCGCTAAAAAGTTGAAAGATAACAAGATAAAAACCAACCAATCAATAAATCAATAAAAATCTGGTTTATTCCATGCTGAAAAGAATAAATTCAACCTTTCAGTTGTGGAACCTTCAGTACACCTGAAGAAGACTCCACAGGCAAAACGTTGTTGCTCTTTACTTTTCACCATGGAATAAACCTTTACCTTTTCCTTTGCAGCCTACGCATGCTGATGCAACTATCTACTTGTAAGAATATTGGATATCTTTTCAATTCATAAAGGATAAATTCCAATTATTCGATGTTCAATAAAAGTTTGCAAAAAGACTTAACCAGTGCACATGGAAACTCATATATCTGGACAATTAGCTCTGTTTCATGCCCTGGTTATTCATGCTACACAGATCTATAAAACAGGGACCATAACTCCTACCACCAGAAGGCCCTGTTGAGCCCAGAGAAGAGCCCCCTCAGCCTCTGGTCCTGAATCTCACCGACACCAGCCAGGCCCAGGACACCACTGCTGGAGCACCACACATCACAGTCAACCCAAACACAGCACAGGACATATTACACTACTTTACCTCACTGCTTCCCAGAGCTGTGTGAAAATACGGAGGTAACTATCCAAATATATTCATGTATACAGGTTTCCCCCTGTGCTGGTGAGCTTTGTCAGTAAGTCTGTGCTTTGATCCACTGGGAAACTCCAAACAGGGCATGAAGAACTGGCCAAATGTCTGACCAGGGTGAGAAACAAAAGAAGAAATTGAACTGTTTGTGAGGAAGTACTGCCTCAGGCACCACACCCTGGCCATAGAAACTGGACACAGACAGACCTGGCTGTCCAGAGAGGACAGGCTCAGTGACCACAGACAGGCCTGGCTGCCCAGAGAGGACAGGCTCAATGACCACAACCTGGCCATAGAAACTGGACACAGACAGACCTGGCTGCCCAGAGAGAACAGTCTGTGATCCCCACTCCTCTCAGCAGGAGGAGCAGAGACAGAGATGCACTTTCTTTTGTAGTGTGAGAAATACTCTGGGACTAAACAAACCTTACCTAAAATAATTGTAATCCCAGAATTCCCACTCCTGACAGAATCAGAACAGTCTCCAGTCCTACTGGGGGAGGAAACTCAATAGAGCTGCAGCCCAGGGTGTGATCTCCTGTCACTGCCTGAGGGACAGACAGTGTGACTGTCTTTCAGTAATAACAATAATAATAATGCATTGCGTGATCTCCTGTCGCAGGCAGAGGAAAAAAAAGGAAGTTCAAATAACAATGTCATCATTGTGATGTCTGTGTTTACCACCTGTTATCGCTTATACTGTATACAGCATATGTAGTGATGAAGTCACCTAAGGTTGAACCTGTAAATATTTTCTGATTAAGATCAGAACTCTTTATTTTTAGGTTACGTTTTGCGCTCTCTGTGAATGTTCTTGGAAAAACACTGAAAATAGTTGTGTCAGATGGTTGTAAAGGATCTTTGCCTCTGTGCTTTCTCCTGTCAGGGGAATCAGTTACGGAGCCTGTCTTCACCTCCTGTGAACGAGCGGGCGCTGAATTCTCTTGCCTGGTCTGTCAGAGGGCTGGGTGTGGCCATCAGCCACTGTTTGAATGGCAGCAATCTCTCCCTCATCACACCGTTGTCAGCACCAGGGAGAAGTCTTCCAAGTCTAGATTCGTGCCTTGTAGATGAACGCCGAATAAAGAACACAGCTGTCGCAGGCCAGATCCAGAAGAATTCCTTGGAATCACTTTACACACAAGTTTCACCCCTCATACTAATATTCTGAGTACCAAGAGAAACTTTAAAAAAAATTGATCAAATCCTTTTGAGTGACTGACTTTGTTGCTCAATCAAATCGCCATATCATTGATCATGTCCTGGGACCCCATTCCCTGAGGGCTGACAAGATAGCACGTGTCCTCCTGCTGCTTGTTCAACGACAGCTTTCTTGAAAGACGAGCAATGCAAAAGAACATCTTTCTGAGGTACAGCTTGTTCTGCTTCCTGTGGTAGCCAGACACACAACTTACCCGTGAGCTTCAGAGAACACTCTCTGTGGATCCACTCTCTTGATGAAACACGTTAGACACAATGATGATTTCACCTATACAGTGTCAGTTCAATAATATATTGGTGCAACCGTACCCAGGCATTTCCTGGTAACAGTGATGCAGATGGTGCCTTGTGATGCTCAATGTAATGTAACCACACCCATCAAATATCATTGAGCACCAGCCAGCACCTGCTTACAAGTGCTCTGTGCTTCAAATCGAAAAGTGTTGGGTTCAAAGCATTATTCTCCAATTTCTATTTTTTTTCCCCTAAAACGTACAGGCACTTCCCCACATCTGTAAAGGGTTACGTTCTGCGCAACGTTATGTACGCTGAAATGTCAACAAGTCAGAACACAATCTGACACAGTGCAGCCCAACAGAAGTGACCATATTAGTTTTAGCTAGAGGGCGTTTGGGCCTTGAGCCGGTACATCGATTCACATGTGGTGAACTAATGAGGTCATTGGTGAAGGGTGAGCGTCACATAGGTGTCATTTAGCCTTTGTTTGGTATAGAAAAGGATTCATGATGATGGTGGGAGTAGGACTGCTCGAGAAGGTTTCCAGTATTGTTCAATTGGGCTTAGGTAAAGTTTCCTTCCAGTAAATAATCTGCTTTATCCAATTCAGGGTTGTGGCAAAGCTGGAGCCTATCCTAGCAAGCAAGAGGCACAAGCCAGGATAGACTGTGGACAGGACATCAGTCCAACCCAGGGCAGTGGCATGGTGGCACAGTGGTTAACTTTGTCACCTCACAGCACTGGAGTCCTGGGTTCAATTCCTGGGGTGCCATCTGTGCAGTTTGCATGCTCTCCCCATGCTCGCATGACTCTCCTCCCACAGTCCAAGGACATGCTGGTAGGTCCATTGGATTCTGGTAAAACCGGCCCTAGTATGCATGTGTGTGTGTGTCCTGTCCAGTTGTATCCTGTCTTGCGCCAATTGCTTATCTCCTGCTCCACCACAATCCTGCATTATATAAAATGGTTAGAAAATGAGTTTTCTGGGACTTGAGGGATTTAACTGGGACTCTTAATGAAAATGGCAGGCTCTAGGCCTTTATTTTAATTACACCAGAAATATATCCAATGAGTTAGAAAACCATATACATTATATTTACCAGTACATTATGGAACATATAAAAATAATTAATACCAAGGAACTACAAAAACAATGTTACAATTGTAAATCTATCGAGAAAATATTAACTGCAAAAAATAATAGACATTGCATATTTACATACATTTTAGACAGTTTACATTTTATTTATGATCTTTTCAGCCTCCACACCCTCCAGGATAAAATGTTTATCTGGTCCAGTTCAACATGATAGCCAGAACTGCATTTGAAATCGTCATGGGGAAGGATGTCAGTGGGAGATATAATGGCACAGGACCCTGTTTCTAGTATAGCACTACATATAACTGAAATGTTCTTCTCTTCTAACCAAACTCAAGTCTGGACAAAATCTAAACCTCCAATTCCTCTACACAATCCTGTGCTTGGTGACATGTTTGCAGGGAGATGAACCAAAAAACAGAAATAATGAGAAAAGCCTGCAAGTTCTGGGTGTGCAAACCAAGACCAGAATGTGGGTCAGAGGTCAGACCAACATGCTTGTGGTGCAGCGATGTTTTCAGAAGGGGCGGTGTACTTCACATTGTTGTTTTGGTCTGGCTCAGGGTCACCCCACAATCCCGCATTCCTTTCGTATCCTATGCGTGTCGGCAAGTGTCATCTGTTGCTGGCTTCAGGAGACACACTTAGAAGTCTCTCTGGAGATCTGGAAATAAAAAACAGGGATTAAATCCCAGCTAGCATGAAGGATCCGGATGAGTTTGGCTTACTTGCTTCTTCACATCCATTTTCTAACCGTCCCGTCCAAAACGGAGGCGTGGTGGGAGCCGAAGCCTATCCCAGCAAGCAACAGCACAAGGCGGGGTACACCCAGTCCATCGCAGGGTGGACGCGGACTAAAACACACACTCACGCCAGGGCCAATTTTCCCAGAAGATCAATAACCTACAAGCATGTTGTTACGACCCCAAGTGCCTAGGGGAAAAGGGGTGTGACATTTAGGATAATTCTTTTGGAAGCAGGGGGGTTTTGGTGAGGGACTAGGAAGCGTGATAACAAGAGTAAGGAACTAGAGTGGTGCCAAAGGAAAGAAAATAACAAACAAAATGGAGCTGGCTAGGACAGTGAGGGAAAGCTAATCTGACTACAAAAGAAAACACATGGTCTTCGGCGTCTTCAACCCCCTAGCTAACCTGCACTGACTACCCAAAACCATACAAGACAAATGGCACTCACCCGTACTAAAAACACAAGTGAACCAGGAAGACAAATAAGGGAAAACAAGAGTAATAAACAGGAGCAGGGTACAAAAAGAACACAAAAGTTGAACATGTAACACTGGGGCAAGGTAATGGCAAAACAAGGATGAACACACAAACAAACGAAAGTACAAAGAAACTAACAAAAAAACCAACAAAACAACAAAGCCGAAGCTATACGAAAACACACACGCATACAAAGCAAAACAAACCAACAAATGAAGCCGAAACAATAACCAGAAGCGAAGCAAAGCGATAACCAAAACCAAACGGGACCGAAGTCAAACAAAAGGCCTTTTCTTCCTGAAAGCCTCCATGTTATATAGTGAATAAAATTAGTTCTGATTGGCTGAGGCTGATTGATGATGACATCATACTGAAACAGTGGTGTGATGGTTGGCCAATGGGGAAGGGAGAACAATCAAGGGTCAGCAGTGTGGAACATAGAAAAAACACACACAGAACACACACTGGGACGTAACAGTCTTTAAACCGTGGGAGGAAACCAGAGCACCTGGAGGAAACCCATGTGAACAAGGGGAGAACATGCAAACGGTGAGGCAGCAATGCTGACTTCCTTACTTCCTCCCTCTGGGAGCAAATCTAAAGACTGACATCTAATTTTGTCAGGCAGAAGAACACAGGAGCTCACCCCACACTTAGAACTGACAAGACACACCTGGTCAGACAGAGACGCACAAGATTGGAGAACAAGTCTAGTCGGAATTCTGCTTCCGGTCTTTCCCGGAAACCTTACCGCTCTTCTTCAGCAGCTCCCCTCTCCGAGCGCGCTCCATCTTCTCCACAAACTGCTCGAACACTCGCACGTACTTGGCCAGGCTCGTCTTTTTGTAGTCTGTGCCGATGAAGACACTGCAGTTTAACACTGAGGCATTTCAAAACTCCCACTAAGAGCTCAGTTTCTTACACCCCGGTGCAACGCTGCTCCGGGGCGAAGAGCTGAGAAAGAGGATCTGGTGCACAGGACGGTGGCTCGAACCCGCTCACCTCGCACTCTTCTCTTCTCTGTTGGCGCACTCTCATTCTCTTTGTCCTTCGCCTCTTCCTCCTCTTCCTCTCCAGCACGAGGCCGGTCCAGCTCCTGGCAGATCAGGCTGTGCAAAAGAGCCCAAGGGTGACTATGGCAGCGAGCACACAGCCACAAATGAGAGGAGCCACTCGTCCCACCCAGCTCGTTTGGTCAATAGTAGCTAAGCGATCTGAGGATCTTGCTCTCTTCTTGATAGAAGCCAAGGTATCGGCTTCAACAGCACGGCAGGGCAGCCTGTTCCACACTCCCAGCACCCTTTGTGTGAAGACATGCCACTGCAGTTTGGAGTTGTGTCCTCTTGTGATCCAGTTATTATTTAAGAAACCTGCTGGGCTGACTTTGTGAAAGCCTTCCTGAATATTTTCTATAACATAGAAAAAATGTGCTCAATACCTGAAATGAAGCCTCACTAGTGTATTACACAACTTTAACATCCATCAATTTCGTAACCACTGGGGTCACCAGGGAGCTGGAGCCTATCCCAGCAAGCAATGGGTTCAAAGAGAGGTCCACCCTGGACAGGACACCAGTCCATGACAGAGCACACAGATACAGACACACACACACTCACACCAGGGCCAGTTTTCCCAGAAGCCAATTGGCCTACTAGCATCTCTTTGCACTGTGGGAGGAAACAATAGCAACTAGAAGAAACCCAAACAAATACAGGAAGAACACACAAACTCCAGGCAGACAGCATCCCAGGTCTGCAATCGAACCCAGGGCCCCAGCACTGCTAACTGCTACTGCACCACAACTTTAATATCTTTATTTAAACGCTTTTGATTTTCTTTCCGAGAAAAGATACCGGAACATGTGAGCGATGTGTCAATGCAAAACCCTCGAGTGGCCAGTGAGCAGAAACCACGCTGCATCCCGGTATCACAGAGTAACACAGCCCGGGTCGGAACCAGCGACACCCGGACCACTCGGGGCTCGTCCCACACCCCCCTGGTCAAGAGACGCTCACCTTATCGTGGGGACGGCAAAGGGATCAAACTGGTCCACCTCTCGAGGGTCAATGGGCACCGATATGCGGCCTGTTTGAAAAAGAGAAATAAGCGGTCAGACACCTGCGCGATTCACTAGACGTTCACGCATCGATAGACTTTCAGCCGTCCCTCAATCATTATACAGTGGGCCGGAATTTGCACACTTCTTGCTATATGTTAATGTTATCCTGTGAAAGACTGCAGGTATTATAATGTACAATCTGGCCAAATGATTAGGAACTCCCCAGTCAAATGAAGAGGCAATCTGTGGGTAGGACTGAGGAGATGACAGTTTTCCTCCACGTTTTCTGGCCGGAACAATCCTCAGACCTCACTCCTGTTAAAAACTGGTGAAACCAGTCACACTCCTGTCCTACGGATCCCGAAGGACGTTAACTCCAGCACCAGGGGAGATGAGCACCGTTTTCACATTTGCACTGGCCAAAATATGAGGACCCAAAGACTATGACAAAAACACCCTCCCAGTAGGGGGCGGTGTGTGGGGTTGGGCTAGAGGAGCAGTCTCCCATCACCCTTCCTGGCCAGAACAATCCCCAGACCTCACTCCTGCTGGAAACCAGTAGAAATGTCCAGTTCAGTCGCACAGAGACTCGGAGGGGCTCTTATATTTTACTTGAGGGGGAGTAGACAGACAGTGCTTGTACACGCGAGTGCCCTGCGGTGGAGAGGTATTCCCACCAGGGTTTAGACCCACTTTGCCCCGTGTGCTCCGGGAATTCGGGAACCAGCTCACGGAATAAGCAGCTTTCCGAAGACGCATGCATAAACTGTTGCATAAAAAAAAAACTGAAAAAGGAGATCACAGGTGAAACCAAAGCACGGCTCTGCTTGGCCGTCCTCACCTGTTTTGGGGTGGACGCTGAAGGGGCTCTTCAGCAGGTGGTTAACCCCCTTGCTGACATTGACGTCGAGCCGCGGGTAGCAGTACTGCAGCATGATCTCCTTGGCCGCGTGCTGTCCCTTCTTCCCCTGCGGCTGCTCGGGAGGAGTCGAGAAATCACAAAAACCGCAACAGCTAACTGGTAACCGGACCTAATTACACACAGTCTCAGTCGCAGAGGACCGGACTGAAACATGCTAGGCTGTGGACCTGCAGCCCTGGGAGAGAGGAGCGCTGCTTTCCGGGTTCCAGGTTCTTTCAGAGCCTGAACCACATGTTAAGTCAAAAACAGGCGATATGGCTCCTCATCCAATGAAGGAGCCTGATTATATTCAATTGAGAGGACAGGCAACCGGAACACGAGAGCTGTCCCTCAGCCATCGAGTTGCTCATCCCTTAAGGATGTCACAGCAGCTCGACTCTGCGGACAAGGAGGTTGAGCCACGGCGCCGGAGACGCACAGAGAGAGACGGACAGACGCGCTGGGAGAGGGACGGAGCGGTCGTGGCTTTGCCATCTCCTCACTCACCCGCTCCACGTGAGACACCAGGCGATCCCAGCGCTTGACGGGATTCTTTTCATTGTGAAAGTCAGTCTTCAGCTCCTTCTTCACATGTGGGTAGGAAGTCAAGGACCTACCCTGAAGCTCTGGGAACTAAGCGATACACGCTCACTCAACAAGAACTCAAGAACGGTCACAGGCGAGGAGATTAACAGCAGGCCACTCATCCCATCAAGCTTGTTTGGTAGCCAAGGCATCATCATCAATAGCATAGCTGGGTGGCTTGTTCCACTCTCCCACCACCTTTTGTGAAAAGATGTGCCTCCTTTTCTCAGTTTTAAATGGACTTCCCCCTTGGTGTCCACTTGTGATCTCTACTCAGTGTTTCACCTTCTGTTCAAGTCTTAAGACATTAATTCAGAATATTAGTGTAGGACACTCCCTTCAGACTAAAGAGACTCAGTTCCTCCTGCCTGTTAGTGCAGGACACCCCCTTCAGACTGATACATTAGTATCAGTGCAGAATGTATTCAGTTGTTCTTTAATGGACTGATTCTAGTGCAGTAACATCTTTGATCTATGAAGAGGGGGAGTAGACAGACAGCTGTTTTTGGAAAGGATATCTTCTGGCACAAGGGCCAGCACTTTGTCGACAGACTCTTTGCTGCCCAGGATGTCTTGTTTGACCACAGCATAGTCCACAAAGTAGCGCGAGATCACATTCAGCGATTCCCTGCAGAAAAGACAGAGTCAGACACTCTCATTCTTTTTTGAAGCCAAGCGATTAACACAAGCAAGTTAAGATTGTAACCCTCATGATCAGATGACTCTTGTTACACTTGTCTGCTGAGGGTGTCAACTGCTAATTGAATAAGTACTTTTTGAAGATGCAATGATCAAAACTCAGGAATTATTCGATGAAGAACCTGCCCTACCACACAAACAGGATGTGGAAAAAGCATAAGTCCAAGATTCACACATCAAAATGGCTCAGTCTTAAGAAAAGGGAGTTTTTCTTACATGACAAAGGGATGAATGAGATCAGGCAGTTGCACTTTTTTTATTGTGTCCTCACCACCCTGTCAGAAAGCAGAGAGAAGCACACCTTTACTCACAACAGAATATTGAAGGGAATATAGTTCATATATTGATAGAATTAACAAATTCAGCCTAAATATGTATATTCTTCCTGTATTTGCATAAGTTGTCTTCAAGGAAGACTAGGTTGTTGCTATAAGTGACGTTGGTGTACCAGTAGGGGGCGCACTTCCACACTGGCCCAGAAACTCCAAACCAAACACCCAGTAGAGAGACTAGGGACAGAGCTGAAGGAATTGTCCTTCAGGTGACATGTTAACTGAGATCCTGGGTACTTGGTTACTAAAGACCCTAGTACACTGTTTACAAGAGTAGGGGTGTCAACCCCAGTATCCTGGCTCAATTCCAGTCTGAGCTGTACAGTCTGGTCTCCCCAACCCCCCCGCCAAGTCCACCTGAAGCAGCAGGCGCCCTTCAGTGCTGGATAAAGAGCCTCCTGCGATACGAAAAGTACTCTGAGATACTTTTCCATGAGAAGCTCCACATGAATGGAAGGAACTAGAATTATTTTAACTCCTCTAGTCAACGTAAGGAGTTTCTTATCCGCCATTTCTTCCGATTGACCTCTCGGTGTTTATCCTGAAGTGCGCTGAGGGTGGAAGTCCACTCCCCGGAAGATCTTGACGACTGAAGCCAAGGTCATCCCCCTGGTTCACCCCCCTCCGACCCCCGACCCCCCCGCCTTCTGCCCCGCCCACCTCACCTTCACAAGACTGAGGTACTCAGCCACTGCCGAGCGGGCCGTCGCCGAGAGCTTCCTGGCTGCCTCGTCGCACACCCAGCAGTGCACCCCTCGCCTGCCCGAGTACACCCACAAACAGTGCTTGAACCCAAAGTCCTCTGGGGAGAGAAACCAGGGCCCGTCTGGTTACACTTCGGAAGAGTGAAAGGCAGACTCCTACAGTGGTGCTCAAGGGGTGGGATTTCTGTCCTTCTTACCTCCACAACAAAGACTACAGCAGTAGCCAAGGCAATGTGCCAATATATTGATAAACTACATCTTTCAATCACAATCCACGCTTAGAACATTTTGCAGATTTTGGGGGTCTATTTTTACAATGTCCCCACCCTGACCCATCCTTACTCTTAATTTGCTGGATTTAAATAACTAATTATTTCAATACCTCCGCCCCCCCACCAACCAACCATTAACCTCTTCTCCAGCTCTTCAGCGGGTTTAGAACTATACAGGCCTATAAAACCCGGACCACCTGTCTTCTTCCGCCCTACCTCTCAGAGCTCTGTCCAGGATCTGAATCGCGATGGTCATCAGGGTCCAGCACTTGGAGCAGATGTCGGCAGCACTGCGGGAGAACAGGGAGAGGAAGCCTTTACTCTCGTTCAGGTGTGGAATTTACCGAAAGGCCCGCTCTCTGACCCAGGGGGAGCAGACACGGACGCCAACGTCCGGTGGAAAGCGGATACCTGGCGCCTGTCCCAAGCCAGCATGGGGTTTCGGGACAAAGGGATCAGGGATTTCCTGTCCCATCTGTCCTGAACTCAAGGAGGATTCAGAAACTGCCCAGTTTTTTTGTGTAACCTTTCTCTGGTTTTCTCAGTCCTGCTGACATTAGCGGAAGAGAGTCTCTCTGGTAGGTGTGCAGGTGTAACGGTGCTGACTGAGTTACAGAAATGACCCTCCGAAATCCAGACAGTGTACAGCTCTGCTGCGTCAGAGGACTGGTCTTGTTGTGCAGCAGAGTTAGGGACTGGAGCTGAGTTCTGAGCCCCGAGTGACTGGGAATAAATCCCAGCAGAGCCAGAGGACTGGTCTTGTTGTGCAGCAGAGTTAGGGACTGGAGCTGAGCTCTGAGCCCCCAAGAGACTGGGAATAAATCCCAGCAGAGCCAGAGGACTGGTCCTGATTTGCAGCAGAGTTAGGGACCGGAGCGCTGAGTGATTCAAAAACTGCCCAGCTGACTGGGCAGAGTGACCTGGAAGCCAGTAGGGTTCGTCCCTCTCTCGCATCTGCACTGGAAATCGACAATTCCTACAACACGTCACACACCTCAGCCTGGAAGAGCTGACCTTTTGGGAGGGTTTATGGAGGTGTATATGCCCTGGGGAACAGAGACAGTGGAAGACTGCAGCTCCAACATGTCAGCAGGCCCCCACACCCAACCGCCCCCCACCAGCTCCGCAGGGCTTCCCTCTCCAGGATACCTGCAGCACCTCCGGACATCGTCATAGTCCGTCATGTCAATGTCGAACACCAGCTCCTTCTCCAGCGCCTGGAAGGTCCCAGACTTCACCGTGTTGTGCTGGTTCGGCTGCAGAGAGAAAGTGGGACAAGAGCAAACTCACTGACAAGACTGACTCAAACGGACAGACTGCCCCCTCAGGCGGCTGGTCTGCAGGGCTACTGGAAATCTGGGCAACATCACCAGCTAAGACCTGGGCTGGAAGACTGATGATCTTGCTGAAAATGAGGTTGCTGTAAGTCTACCAGCTACAGGGAGCCGGGTGAGGCAGTCAGAACCCCAGGATCCCATGAAACAGACAAACCAACCCTGTGGCTGAAGACGGCGCCGATGTCGATCTTGTAGGGGTTGATCTTCTGAATCTCCTTCTCCAGCTCCCCCTGGCTGCTGAAGGACTGGTAGCGCACGTAGATGTCATCCTTCAGGGTGAAGGAGAACTCCCGGTTCTGGAAGCAGCTCTTCACCACTGACGGAAGAAAGAGAGGGCGGGCAGAAGAGAGAGAGAGAGAGGAATTTTATCTATTTGCTTTTGCAAACTTTGCCTTAATATTCAAAACTTCAGCCACACGTTTCATGCAAACCTTGCCCAAATGAAGCATGTGTCGAACTTGATCGCTCCATTGCCCTCACATGTGAAACGTGCTAGACATACTCCAGTGCACGTCTCACACATTTCCTCCTAAATCCATGAGCTAGTGAGCACACAGGTGTAATAAATGACATAGTTCAAGTAGGGAGCTGCCTCAGCATGCGTAGGCTGCCAAGGAACAAGTAAAGGTTTATTCTATGGTGAAAAGAGAAGAAAAAAAAACACAATAAATGACATTTCATTATGTATATCGATTTTCGACTATGTGAGGCTTAAGTACTCAGAAAAAAAAAAGATGTCATGCGCTCTACTGCCTCCTGAACAGCATGCACTTCACCGAGACGGGGCAAATGGAAAACTGCGCATCATTTGCTGGCGTCGGTACCGATGTCTAAAAACTCAAAAGTTTAGTTATAGTTAAAACAACGCAGACAGACTTCACACATTTCCTCCGAGGCTTTGAAACTCACCGCCTCCGTAGCTAAGCCAGCGGTAGTACTGCGAGAACGGGAACAGACGCCTGTAGTACAGCGGTAACAAATCCGGGAGAGAGGCAGGGTCATATTCACTGGCCGAAGCTAATTTGAGCATTTCAGAAAAAAAACACAGGCGCGTGTTTGTGGCAAGGGGCTTTTAGACAGCAAAACTGGATCGCTCTCTCGTTAAAAATATTACAACCCCACAACGCGCTTCTCTGCTTTCGGTGACAGCTGCACACTTACAAAACAGCGCGGGAAAGAATCGAGGAGGACGTCCCAACAACACAACCAATCTCCGTGGGTTGGTGGGATATGTAGTTTTTTAAGCAAGTGTCTCACATATTCATTGCTACGAGTAGATCATTTCTAAACTACAATTCCCACAATCCACAAGCGGCGCACGGTACCAATATGTCTTCCTGCCAGGACGCTGATATTTGATTGGCTACCACATTACAAATAACTGAATACGTCAGAAGGCACTGCCTAGCACAGATCAAACACCTGACATTAAGACTGGGGGGATCTATACTGATGGAAAAAATAAACGCAGCATTTTCTGGAATGAGTATACTATAGTTATATCTTTCACAAAAAGTGGTAAATTTGTTTTAAGCCCTCTGACCAGCAATACCAGCAGCCATATCACCCTGCAACTCACAACTGGCAGCCCACTGAAGCTCAGCAGGTGTGAGCCTGGTCAGTACCTGGATGGGAGACCTCCTGGGAAAA